CATAAATTCCAGATAAATCGGCACTCGCATGATATATCACTTTCTTCTTCACGTTGTCCAATGTACTGTGCTGCCTGGATGTAGCGAGGACTACTTTCGGGTCAAACTCGTCCAACGCCGTCGCCAAACCCAGCCAACGATTGCAGGAGCGAGAGCCGTCCTTGTGGCATCTACACTTTGTACCTCGGCTGCGGCACCCAACCAAGAATGATGCTACGTATGGTATGTCATGTGTCGTAGACGCTGCATGCATTGCCGAGCAAGGGGTAGGTTTCTACGAGGGGTAGGTTTCCCGGTCGAGCCAGTCCAGTGGAGAGTACAGCGAGTGTAAAGGGTCGAGGCGCCTTTGTACGGCCGCTGCCAGAATTTATCTACAGTAGGGACTTTGAACGTAAAGACTAAGCCCACTCCTATGGTCTGGCGGTACAGCGCGGGATTTTACTCTCAGTAGGGACAGGGTTCGATACCCGAAGTGGTAGCGGAAGCGGTCGATTGGTGTTTTCACGCACTTGCGATGCCCGATTCCGCTTTTTGTTGCGGACGCTTGGATATCCAATGGAACTGTAAAATGCACTCTTTTTATCGACGCCAGCCCCGACCTGTTGATACCTGCAGCGACGCGTCGTCATCGTGTAAAATAAGTATTGTGCGTAGTGGCAACGACATATGGTGAGTGCAGGGTGGACAATGATGTTGCCAGCTCTCCTCGTCATAGCATCACAGCACGAGTGGGCTTGGAGCGATGTCTTGCTTCCCAAGCTCAAGCGACAAGCTTTGCATTGCACGCGTGTTCGCTCATGCATGTATGCCAACTTTAAATGCAGCGACTACCGCTGCAAGGCGCGAGTCCTCGGTCGGCACGTACGTTGTGGCACGGCGCGGGTTGAGCAACCTCTCTTTTCGACGCAACCTGTTCAATTCGGCAGCGCTGGCCGCGGCTATTGCCACATATACCGTATACGTCCCATAGTATTATCCGGTCGACCATCGCGCGCGAGCTGGACACGAAGCTACTAGTATGGCGAGAGCCCAAGCCGCGCCAGAGAGAGCGCGAAGAAGCTGCGGTACCCAGCCCTTTGGCAGCAGTACCGACAATCCAGACCGTGTGTCGTCGCATTCTATCGTGCTGGCATGTGGTAGGCAGAGGTTCACGTCGCCTCGATAGCGGCAAGGCCGCGCCAGTACAAGAACCCGCGGCGGCTCGACGCAGAGTCCGCGGCCTGGCGATCGATGCCGCATTGCAAGCCGCGCCATTTGCGGTAGCCCGAAGAGCGGCGCAGCAAGCTGCACCAACGAGAACCGAGGATCGACGCGCGCGATGCAGTGCGCGGCCATCCTGGAGGGGCGACTTTGCCTTGAGCTCCACCAGCTGCATGAAGATGAGCGGCCTCGACCAAACGAGCGACTGCACCCCGAAGCGTGGGGCGCCAAACGAGCGTGCGCTCCGAGAAGCAAGAACCCGCGTTGCGCAACGACGTGAACGAAGATGCGCGGCGCCTCGGATCGCCCAACATCAAGCGCAATCCCAGCGTGATCAAGACCAGCGCCAACGACTGCCCTGCAAGTTGCTTGAAGAAAAAGAGCACCAGCAGCAATGCGTTCAAGATCGGCACCAGCAACAAGAGCCGCACAACCAGACGACCAAATGCGGTATCTCCAAGGCCAAGACCAGCGCCCCGAGCACAAGCGACCCGCGTCGGACACGGACAAGGGCGGCGACACCGCCGCGATGAGCGATCTCAAGTATGACGAAGAGCGTGCCGCTCCACGACGCCCGTCAACCCGGGCCAACGTTTCGTCTCAAGTAGCACCAGCTCGGCTGCGAGAAAGTGAGCGACAATCAACGTGCGCTCAACAAAAACCCTCCAACACGTGTGCCCGCGATGCTCAAGTTTGGCACCTTTGACCCGATCAAAGGCAACAACGGCATCTTTGCTTTGCCCTGCGATACCGCCAAGTACCCGACACCGCCAACGACCAACTTCAGTTTGGCGCCACCAAGGACCATCATTTCTGGCGATTCAAAACCCGTCGCGATCGACGATGCCTCCTCGGCTGCCATGACCAAGACCGCGCGTCCAGCTGTCGACTCCACTCGGACTGTGGGAGCCAG